TGGTTTCATGATATGAATAATTTCGCTTCAGGGTCATCTTTCGAACAATATACATGCAAAATTCTAACATAAAAACGTATTGACGCATGCACTCAAGATTATGTGGTTTATTCTTCCTTATACTAATTGTGATTCTCATTAGTTTCACATTTTCTTAGTCCCGTAACGGATTTACGATCCATCGTGGTTATTCATTGACTACATTTGTACTATTACAAATTATAACAAATAGATGCTTCTTACATAATGTTACATGTATGGATGGTTGCCAGCTAGATTGGGCATGGTCGATTATGTTATTTCATATCCTTATCTGGTCGGTTAGACGGGTTAGAATTTAGAATGTTTTATATGTAACTAATATTCTAGAATCTAAATTCTAAGAGTGTAAGTTGAGATTTACATTTTTCATGAAAGAAAAGGTTGGGATGTTGTTCCTTCTCTTTCCACTCAACCCAGATCTCATCTGCTCTGCCGTCTCATCTACCAGTCGAGACTCTTGTCTATCTCTACAAATCTGTCGCTCCATTGTCACATTGGCCAGTCCACAACTCAGGATCTCCACAGAGGAAGGAGGGAGTGAAGAACAGTGACAGTATAATAATTTATGTGTAGATGGCTTGCAAATCTCTCTCCTCATCACTAAATCTTGAGACGCGTTGTTCCGCAGATAAGATAACAAGATAGATAGCGAGGTTGTTGGAGATGCTTTTAAATACTTTCTCCAAATTAAGTTTAACCCAAACTGGTAATAGAAATCGTTTCAGACCGTCCATTAGGGGAAACATCCCTTTTAAAGTTAAGATAGCAATTAAGCATTAATTGCTTACCCTTTTCAAACAACTCTAGCTATATATAGACATAAAGTTCATAACCCTAATAGTGTTAAACAAAACCTAAAATTACTGATTGTTCATTTATGAGAAACATGCAAGATTTAGTGATTAACTAAACTGACTGTGTGGAGATGAAAGCGACGAGAAGAGGGTCGAGTTCTGCAGCCGTATTAAATGAGGAAGGAGTTATGTAGTACAAATATGTCAGTAAAAATCTGGTCTACATACGTCACTCACCATCGACTGCTGGTAATCACATGGGCTTGATAATTGTGTGTTGAAATATTACAAGTTAATGGTCCAGTGTACTCAGATTAAGTGGGGTACACTCCATAAATCATCGGCAGTAAGATCTTCCGCTACACAGAAAAATTTCTCTTCAGATAGCAGCAGTAGTACTACTGTAGAAAATTCTTTCAATTATTTTTTCATAGCCATCTAAATTTTGCTACAATACTTGAGGGCCTTGAGGGCCCTGTTTTGCTAGATTTCGAGGAATGAGGATTTTCTCTCCTTTTAATTTTTCATCTTCCTTTTCCTCTTATTTGAACGATTATAATTAAGTTACATCAACATCTTATGTTGAGTTTTTATAGAAACAAAATGCAAATATGAGAGGAGATAAGGGAAGGAGAGAGGAATAGAAGAAGAAATAATCCTACTCCGATTTCGAGGTATAGTCATTTGGCCTTTTTTGAGACTCTTTTTCCATCCTTTTGGCTTGAGATTTGAGAAACTGTTGTGAGTATTAAACAAAAGAGGGATTATCGTTCAATTGACATTTGGCTATGTATTAATAATACTTCATTCACATGGAGGAACCGCCTCCTTTCTGACTAATGAGACGTTATTTTACAGTACAAAAATGTTAATTGAAAACATTCAGTCTCTTAAAATCATGTTTTTGTCGTTGAAAATATGTGAAGAAAATTTCATAGACTGTTAATTACATTATTTATGTATTTATACATGCAATACAACCCTATAAGTACATACCTCTCACTCTTAGACCTTAATTTCATGGTTATATTCAATAAGTATCATCTAACGAAGTGATGCGGACATATTCTAAATACATTCCTCCATGTAGACTTGATTTGTGTCAAAAGCCAATGAAAAATATGAAGACAAAAGATAAAATCTTTGTGCAAGCTAGCCAAAGAACCACCATTTTTAAACAAGTCTTAGTTGTCCAAACAAGAATTCCTCTTTTTTCAAAGAAAAGAAGCACTGGAAAATAACTCTTACATTGGATTTAAAGTACTTTCCAAGTTAAAATATTAATCATGATCATTAGGACATAGGGATTATATAATTATGATTTGGTCTTAATGCATTTTTTAGTGTGAAAATTATGGTTCCAAACATAATATTTAAATGCTTTTATAGTCAAGTTGAAAATTAAAAACATGAGCAAAAGTATTAATCATGATTTGGAAATAGGCTAGGGATTATGGGATTATACTGGAATTGGGTCTTAATGCATTTTTAGTGTGAAAATTATGGTTCCAAATATAAAATTTAAATGCTTTTATAGGCAAGTTGAAAATTGAAAACATGAGCAAAGGTTCTAAAGTGTGATTAGTTTTAGCAAATGGGTGATTGACTTTGACCATTACGAAAGGGTGTTTCACTTTAACAATGTTAAATAGGTTGTGCCTTGTGCCTAACACATACATTTCTCTTGCTCATGTTTATCACGATTAACTTTGTGATGTGCTTGTAGACAAACTTAATCAGTCTTGTAATCCGAATTATTCGTCTTTTAAGGAACGTAATGTTTAGCCACTCATTACTACGGTTTGGTGATATTCATTTTCATTTGGAAGTGCGAGGTCTTAGGTTCAAATCTCGTGGATGGCAAATTCGATACCAAATTTGGCCACCCATTGTGTGGCTTAGCCGAACTCCCCTTCCCCATAGTATAAAAATATCGATGTAAAAATTTGATACCAAATTAGGCTGCCCATTATGTGGCTTAGGTTCGAATCTCGTCATTTACATTTTTAACTCTTGTTTCTATTTGGCATTTTAGTCAAAAATAGTTTTTGAGATTGACATAACTCATCGTTCTGGTCCATGACTTTTGAAATCAATAGAAGTGGTCCCTCAGTTTGTCCACCCTCAGTCATTTTGGTCATTCCATAAAAAAATTCTACTAAATAAATACCAAAATAACAAAAATACCCTCAATTTAATAAACAACAGGTCAAAATGAATTGACAAAAATTAAGGTTTTTTTTTTCTTTCATTTTTTTTTCTTATTTAAAAGAGATTTTTCAAGAAAAAACCAAAATGATTGATGTTACGCAAACTTAAAGACCAGTTTTATTGATTTTAAATCTCAGTAATCAAAATGGGAAGTTATGTCCATTTCAAGAACTATTTTGGCTAAAAAACATTCCAATTTTAGACAGACAACACATACTCATTGGATAGTGGTACACTAGAATGTTGTCTATATTATAGGACATATTTTCTCTGTACTGGTGTTATGGATGTGTATGGTCAAGTATTCGAAATACTCGTCTCAACAACTATGGAACCAGTACAACTTCAAAATGCCATCCAATTGGTATGGTTTTGGAGTTAATGGGGGCTTTATTAGCTCATGATAGAGCTACTCAATGAGCATGATACCTATTATACATGCTATCCCTTGTAGAAGACTATAGATGAGGCACGAAAGCAGAGAGAGACTCCTTCGGTGAAGTAAAAGAGGCACACCATGAAAATAGAAAAAGGGGCATATATTATATATATAAGTGGACTCACTCACTTACTCACACTAGTCCTTCTCTTGTTGCAGCTGCATGTTCTGAAACTGCATGCAGTTTTCACTGCCTGCGCCACTGCACACGGCACCACCCTTTCTTTCCATCCTGAACTCTCTCTCTCTCTCACCCTTTTACTTATATCCTTAAAGGACTCTCTCCCAAAACGATCTCCCCCATATCCTAAACCCAATGGCTTTCCCCTCTTCCCACCAAATGACAAATCGTATTTTTCCCATTTATGCAAACGGCACGCAGCACGCCCCAAAAAAACTTTGCCACAAAGTCATTGGTCAAAAGGACCCGATCCCATGCACTGTACACGCGTCAGCATTTCACTACCATACTGTCCTCCACTCCCATCTCCACGTGTTCGCTACCTATTCGCCATCTCAAATACAACTCTGCACTTGCATACAGGAGAAAATTTATGCCATTACACGTGTTAAGTATATTCGTAAACGATAATGTTAATATATTCCACTTTTAAGTATATTTATAGAAGACAAAATAAACATGTTATAGTTTAGGCTCATTTTTAGCTATGTTCTTTATAACTCAATTTCAATTTCACTTTACTCTCTGAAACTCAAAAGTCGTCACTTTACTCTCTAGAACTCAATTTTGATCTCATTTTACCCATGTAAATCAAAAGTCGTCACTTTACTCATTGGAACTCGATTTCAATCCCACCTTGTCCCTGAAACTCAAAAGTCGCAACTTTACTTCTTGAAACTCACAATTTGTTCTACATTGCCTTGTTTCTATTTTTAGAATAAAAACTATCTTCTCTCTTCACCAACCACCTCCATTAAGAACATAAGGAATAACAAAATAATTGGAACTAATGATAAGGTGGCTGGAGATAGAGGGAGAAGAGATAAATGTATGGACTAAAGGGGAGTGGATATTGAGTAAAGTGGAGAATATTAATAAAGTTGCGACTTTTGAGTTTTAGGAGGCAAAGTGAGATTGAAATCGAGTTTCAGGGAGTAAAGTAACGGCTTTTGAGTTTCAGATGGCAAAGTGAGATCAATGAAGTTCTAAGGAGTAAAGTGATGACTTTTAAGTTTCAGAGAGCAAATTGAGATTGAAATCGAGTTACAAAAAGCATAGATAAAAATAAGCTTATATTTTAAGTAGAATAAATATCATGTGACGGGTTTTCAAAAACATCGGATAGAATCTATCTGCATCCATAATCCTCCAAGTTGCATTCTTTGCTTATCCTCGTGTCCAAACACTACAAATTTCACGCTCTGGACAAAATGAGTCACTAGTCGTATACATGGATACATAAACACACACACACACTCTCAGACATGGGACCATTGTCCTGTGCTTAAATTCCAGCTTTTTCGTGAACGACACGATCCGATTCTGCCGCTCTCTCTCTCTCCTCCTCTTCCTCTCCCACTCTTCTTTTTGTGCTTCATTTTTCTCTCAATATTTCTCTTTTAAGTGAACATTTGTTTCTTGTTCTTCTTCTTTGTTCTCCATGGAAATGGAGGATCAGTACAACATGTCCGATCTCCGGCAACTCATGAACGGAGGTCGGACTCACTTCCCCACCATCCCACTACAATCCCCCACCGAGCTCTTCCCGAACCACCACCGAGAACCTCCTCCTACTCTTCATCATCAACACCATCCGTACGAGCAGCTCATGATGATGGGCCGTTCTCAAGCCCACGAGATGATCTCTCGTGGGCTTCACCATCATCATGAGTTTCGCTCTCCGGACTCTACTAGTGCTGCCGGAGGTGTCACTACTCCTACTACTGTTACAGCAGCTCCTTCCCTTAGTGGCGGTGGCTTGGAGACTGAAGCTGGCGGGTGTCTTGGCGGCGAAGGGTCTGGAAGGTGGCCGAGGCAAGAGACTCTCACTCTTCTGGAGATCCGATCACGGCTTGATTTTAAGTTCAAAGAGGCTAATCAGAAGGGTCCTCTCTGGGATGAAGTCTCTAGGTATGTAAATACATACATATACACTTGTACAAGTATATAATCATTCATAGCATATACCCTAATTATCTGCTCTCTTCTTTTTTTTTTTTTTTTTTTTTTTTTTTGAATTTTTTTTGTTCATTCTTGGTTTGTTAAACTTGTTTTGGTCTTCATTATTGTGTGATCTCTCTTAATTAATTGGTGCATGGTAGTAAGTTGGCATGGATGTTTAAGCAAAATCTTATTTTGGGTACTTCTATTTTGTTTCTTTTTATTAATTAAAAATAATTTGATGCAATTTATGGATAGTTTTTCTATGTTTTGAGTTGGAAAATGACTGAACAAGCAATTTCAGTTCATCAGTTTCGAACTGAGGTGCTATTTTTTTTTCTTCATTCATTTTAAGATCTGATGACTTTCGTGTTGCCCAAACTGGCCCTAAATCAATTTGGGACCCCTTTTTCTATACGATTTCTGTATTGCAAATGTGACCTTCTTTCAAACACAAGTTTTTATTCTTATTTCTGCAAAATAGTTAATACTTGTCCTCTTCCATGCTTGACTACTATCAATCGACTGGTTTTTGTCTGATATTGGAAAGACATGATCTACAAGAAATGTAATTGCCCACCAACCCACACCCCACCCAACCATCCCCCCCCCCCCCCAACCTACTCCTCCTCCTCCTCCTAAAGACTACACATTATCTTTCATTAGAATTTTTTTTTGAATGGTCATATGCTAAATTGGGATAGCGTAACATCATCATTAGCAAAGGAGTGATCATCACTATTTCACATGGACACAATGTTTAATGGTTTTTAGCTTAGTCTATTTTAGAATTCAATTTAGGGTTTCTCTACTATTAACTTCTTCACACAATCAATCACTTGATATCTTGCTTAATTACATGCCGACACTACTCAGATTAGGGATTTTTACTATTAAAAAGTGTTAAATCTCTTTTTGGGTTTTTTTTACTGCATTTGCCTACCATGCATTAATTAAATTTGTCGCAGGATCATGTTTGAGGAACATGGGTATCAAAGAAGTGGGAAAAAATGTAGAGAGAAGTTTGAAAATTTGTACAAGTACTACAAGAAAACAAAGGAAGGAAAGGCTGGAAGACAAGATGGCAAGCATTATCGGTTCTTTCGACAGCTCGAAGCTCTCTATGGAGAAACCACCAACGCCGTAGTCTCACCATCTTTACCTGTAGAAACCCATTTCGTCGGTAATAATAGTAGCAATTATCGTTACCAAGCAGCCGGCAATGCTCAAGCAAATCAAGAGATCACTACTCCCTATCATCATCAATCATCTGATCAAAAGCACTGTGACAGCCTTAGCCTCTCGAATTCATCCGAGTTTGGAACCTCCTCCTCAGAAGATCAAGACATTAATAATGATGTCAGTGCAGCCGCAATGGACGATGATCTGCAGGAGGTGAAGACAACGAGGAAGAGAAGAGGGGGTGGCGGGGGGAGGGGTTGGAAGGCGAAGATAAAAGAGTTTATCGATGTGCAAATGAGGAAGCTAATGGAGAAGCAAGAGGAGTGGTTGGAGAGGCTAATGAGAACCCTTGAGCAAAAGGAGAGGGAGAGAGTGGTGAGAGAGGAGGAGTGGAGAAAACAAGAAGTTGATAGGGTTGAGAGAGAGCACAAGTTTTGGGCCAAAGAGAGGGCATGGATTGAAGCTAGGGATAAAGCTTTGATGGATGCATTGCACAAGATATCGGGAGGATCATCATCAACTGATCAAGCAAAAGCTACTAATTACAATTCGTCATCACCTGATCATCATGATCGTGATCAAATAGTTCATAACATGAGTAGGAGTACCAAGGAGTTATTGAATAAGAAGCGAAAGGAGAATGCAAATTCAAAAAGTGCGTCGGCATCTTGTTACTTTCAGAGCAATGAGTCTTGTTCCTCATTATATAGTAGTCAGGGAGGGTATTGTGGTGAAATGAGTAATGAACAAGGTAACCATGATGGTTCTAACAATTCTCCTAATTGTGGGAATAATGCAAATAATGTGGGGAGCAATGCAGTGCCTGATAATTGTTTTCCCTTCTTGATGAGTGAGGGGGAGAACTTGTGGGAAAATTATGGATTGAAGCTCAGCACGGAAAGCCAAAACCAGTGATGACAATATTATATGAGGTGTAATATTATTACTTTGTATTAGGTGATCATCTGCTAGCTGCAGAAGACAACTTGCTCAGTTGCTCTAATCTAGCAGGAGGGTTTGAACTTTGAAAGGAGAGGTTTGACTTTTGTTATGGGGTTTAACAAATTTGAAAAAAAACCTCTCTCTCTCTCTCTCTCTCTCTCTCTCTCTCTCTCTCTCTCTCTCTCTCTCATGTGAGGTGGAGCTTACTGTATGATCGTGTAAGCAAGGAGCTAACTGGGGGATATTTATGTGTAGGGTTTGATTGATGTTTTAATCATGGAACTAAAGTCTTAGGACATGGAATTTTTAGAGGGAAATAATTATGGATTTGGACAGGTTGCGGTGCTGCTAGCGTTGCGGTTTCATCCTAGTCTATATTTTAAGGTTTTATCCTTTATGGAAAAGTTTAATTCCTGTATCATGAAAATGGTCTATTTTTTGTGGGTTTTCATTTGTTTTAACCTCCATTTCTTTCATGTTACATGCATGAGTAAATGTTTCTTATCTTATGAACACTCATGACATGGATTTCAAGCATATGCATACTAGTTAAGATCAATTTAGTATAAAATCGCTTAATAACTTAGTTTTTAGCTCACAAATCTTGATCAGTCAAAGTAGGTTGTTATAATTACACAAATGAAGGGTTTAGAACTTTAGATCGCTGAAGAGAAGTATTCATAATTCCATAAATTTTCTCAAATGTACATTTAACTAATCTTGTGGTTGAACTTGTTTTACACACATTGATCAAGTAACTCACAGAAAAATATAGTGGGTTTTACAACAATTAGTTTTTTAGATGTTTTAACACGCAATTAAACATGTTGTAAATGTTATGCTGTTGTAGGCTATTTTCCTTGTAGTGTTTGTTATGTGTCCGATGCAATGAAGCAAAGAATAACTTTTTCTAACGACACGAGAAATTTTTGTTCAAAAAATGGAAATGTGAGATACTACCAGTTGAATTTCAATTTGACAGTAAAAGTGATTTAGCCAGATAGCGGCGAGGGAGGGTTGCGATAACGGGTTAGGGTTAGGATAGATTGAAGTTCAATTCTTTACAATATAGCCAAAAAATAAAGCAAATTCCCTTACTCCATTGGAAGTTGCCTTCTCGATCAGATCGGATCAGATCAACATAAGCTTATATAGCATGGCTAGATGGTACGTACTAGCTATAGAAAACTGCCAATATTTGGAAGCTGGCATGTTATGTGCAGCTGCTTAGCAAAGAAAACGTACGAATTGTATCTCCAGGAACATGTCCTTATCTGCAATTAAAGCACTCCGGTAGTGATTTCCATTAGATTACAGCTGAGTGATATATATAAAATACATCACTGAGAGATATTAATTAGTGTAGCAGATATCTACATCATTCTGCAGTAAAATATATACAAGACTGTCGGGAGTCTAGAGGATTATAATTTTTCATATACAGCAATATATAAACTTTTTCTTTTCACATACGTGATTAAATAGAAATTCGGAAGGGAATTTTTATTAACACTCCAAAAATAGTTTTAGTGTAAATGATTTAATTTATTAGCAATAGTTGTACATAAGTTTTGAAACTCGAAAACCTCCTCCAACAAAGTGAAGAGTAGCACTATAATTGGCATTTGCTTCCAAATTATCCCTAAGCACATCAATAAGTGGTTGTATCTCACTCGAATTTAATAATCAATTTTTTTTTCTCCTTGCTCCTTCCCCTTGTAAGCTCGTAACTCACGGGGTTAAAAGTATTTACTCTCACATCCGGATTTTATGTTCGATTCTTCATACCCTAATATCACTCGTATAAAAATATAACCTAATGAAAACTCAAACGCATTCAAAAGAATGATAGAATGGGACTTTGAATTAATTTTTTTCCTCCATTTCTTTTTTTTCTAATTTTTTAGGGAAAGAGGGTGGCAATCAAATTGAAGCTTATTCTTGCATAATGGGGCCGGGGATTCTCTGTTGTACGCTGGTGTATGTGATGCATTAGCTTGATGAAGAGTTTTTGTTTTTACGTTTTGCTAAACTAAAGTATTTAGATAAAGTACATAATGTTGGTATTTGACAGTTTACTAACTCAATACCAAAATATGTGGGTGATAAGTTTACAAACTCTATCACACCTCTTTCACTTTGCACTCTCAAATAAAATTGGACAAAGAAATAGAGAAAGGAGGGAAGCAACAAGCTTTGATAAAACACTTGGACTTTGATATATGAAAAGAGAGTTTACAAACTCTATAGCTTACAAGCTTAAAATGAGAATGAGAAATGGGATTTTGATGGGATGATTTACAATGCTTGAGAACTTGGGTATTTATAGCAAACCAAATGATTAAACTAAGATTATTTATTACCACACAAAACACATTAATTGCACCTAATAATTTTTATTCAACCATACCTAACATTGCCTAACTTTCAATGCCTAACTTTGACATTGATTTTCAACAATAGCAACTTGTTTTGATTTGAATTTCCAACACACCTCCTCAAATCAAAACGCCTTCATTCCTAGCATTTCACGCAGTAGCCGGAATGTTTCAATTGGCAATGGCTTTGTGAAGATGTCTGCCACTTGTTCCTTGGTGTGACAGTAAACAAGTTCAATTGTCTTTTGCTTCACATGGTCCCTTAGAAAATGGAACCTGGTATCAATGTGCTTGCTCCTTCCATGTTGAACAGGATTTTTTGCAAGTTTGATTGCAGACACGTTATCTACGTGAATCACAGTCGATTCCACTTGTGGATGACACACTGACTTCAACAGATTTCTTAACCAAATTGCCTCACACACGGTTGAGGCTACAGCAACATACTCGGCTTCACTTGATGACAAAGCAACAATTGATTGCTTCTTTGAAGTCCATGAGAAAGCTGTTGATCCTAGAAAAAACACATAGCCAGTTGTGCTTTTCCTTTCATCTTGGTCACCTCCCCAATCACTATCTGAATAACCAAATAATTTTGCATCTTCACCAAAATTATAAAATAGACCATAGTTTAGAGTACCTCTTATGTACCTCAAAATTCTCTTGGCGGCCAGCCAATGAGACTCCCTTGGTGTTTCCATGTATCGACTCACGAGTCCAACACCATAAACTATATCAGGTCTTGTGATTGTAAGGTACCTTAGGCTTCCAACGAGGCTTTTGTACACTGTTGAGTTTACAAACTCACTCTCTCCTCCTTTGGACAGCTTCAATCCAGTTGCGACTGGGGTATTGACAGTGTTGCACTTGTCCATATTGAACTTCTTCAATATGTCTCTCATGTACCTTTGTTGAGAGATGTAGATACCATCACTTTCTTGCTTCACTTCTATGCCAAGAAAGTATGACATTAATCCATTGTCAGTCATCTCGAATTCACTGAACATGGATTGCTTGAACTCATGGAACATTGCCTCATTGTTTCCTGTAAACAATAAATCATCTACATAGAGACAAATAATTAAGAACTCCCCTTTTTCACCATTCTTCATGTAAACTGAATGCTCGTATGGACATTTCTGAAATCCATTTTGGTGAAGGTAGTTGTCGATCCTTGAGTTCCAAGCTCGTGGTGCTTGCTTGAGGCCGTACAAAGCCTTCTTCAAACGATACACCTTATCTTCTTCTCCTTGTACTTGGAAGCCTTCCGGTTGTTCCACGTACACTTCTTCCTCAAGTACTCCATTAAGGAAGGCTGACTTGACATCTAGTTGATAAATTTTCCATTTATGATGTGCGGCAAGAGAGATTAGCAATCTTACCGTGTCAAGTCTCGCAACTGGAGCATAGACTTCATCATAGTCCACTCCATACTTCTGTTTGTAGCCCTTTGCTACAAGCCTTGATTTGTATCGATCCACACTCCCATCTGCAGTGCGTTTGATCTTGTGAACCCACTTGACACCAATAGCCTTCTGATTTGGTGGGAGCTTTGTCAGCTCCCAAGTGTCATTCTTCTCGATGGCATGGATCTCTTCTTCCATGGCTTTCTTCCAACAATCTTCTTCCACAGCTTCATTGAATGAGAAAGGCTCGTGGTCTGCATACAAGCAGAAAAGGTTGGTTTCTTCTTCTTCTTCTTGTCCATAAATCTCTGTGAGATTCCTTAACCTCACTGGAGTTGAGGAGCTGCTTTCCTCACTAGATGTAGGACCACTCCTTGCAATTCTGTGCACTGGAGTTGTTGTGATTGTTTGAGCAGGTTGTTGCTCAATCGGTGGTACAACTTCTGGTTCTTCAAAATCAGTGGAGACGATCTTCTCTTTACTGACTTCTTTGTTGTTCCACGTCCATGTCTCTTCCTCACTGAAGATGACATCTTTACTAACCACTAGTTTGCCAGTTAGTGGGTTGTAGAGCTTGTATGCCTTGGACTCTTCACTATAGCCCACAAACACACATTTCTCACCTCTATCATCAAGTTTCCTCATCTTGGCTTCTGGAACTTGAGCATATGCAACACACCCAAAAATTCTTAGGTGTGTAACATTCGGCTTGTATCCACTCCAAGCCTGTTGTGGTGTCATCCTCTTGACACTCTTTGTTGGACATCGATTCAACAAATAAATCGAACAAGCTACAGCTTCTGCCCATAACTCTTTTGGCAAATTCTTCTCCTTAAGCATGGACCTTGTCATGTCAAGGATGGTTCGATTCTTTCTTTCGGCTATCCCATTTTGCTGTGGGGTGTAGGCAGCAGTAAGTTGATGCCTAATTCCTTGCTCCTTGCAGTATGCTTGGAAAGCATTGGAGGTGTACTCTCCACCTCTATCTGATCTCACAGCCACAAGCTTGTGGTTACTTTCTGCCTCTGTGAGTGCCTTGAACTCCTTGAAAATTTTTAGGGCAGCTGACTTCTCCTTGAGAAAATAGACCCAAGTCTTTCTATTGAAATCATCAATGAAGGTAATAAAATACCTATTTCCTCCATAAGACATGGGATCCAATGGACCACATATATCTGTGTGCACCAACTGCAGTGGTGCCTTTGCTCTCCATGTATCACCAACAGGGAACGATAGTCGTGCTTGCTTGCCAAGCACACAACCTTCACATACTTGGCGTGTGGCTTCAATCTGGGGTAGACCACGAACCATTCCTCCACTTGACAGCAACTTTAGGCCATTGAAATTAAGATGGCCAAATCGAAGATGCCATTTCCATGACTCATCTTCCATTACACCGATGTTGCAGCTTCCAATCTTTGTGTTCAAATTCAACGGAAACATCCGGTTCTTTGACATTCGAACACGTGCAATAAGCTTTCTCCTTGCATTCCTGAGAGTGAGAAGCATGTTCTCCATATGTATAATGTACCCTTTCTGGAGCAGTTGACCAATGCTCAGAATGTTGCTCTTCATACCTGGTATGTAGTAGGTATCGGAGATGTATTCTTCTCTTCCATCCTTCTGGATGATCTTGATCTTCCCTTTGCCTTCAACTGGCAACTTTGAGGAGTCACCAAGACTTACAGATCCATAGGCCCCTTCTTTGAGTTCGGCAAAAAACTCCTTCTTTCCACACATGTGATTGCTTGCACCAGAGTCCAAATACCAAACATCTTGTTGGCTACTGGAATCATGGTGTGCTAGTAAGACTGTAAGTTCTTCATCGGTATTTCCACTTGATTCTGCCATGTTGACATGCTCACCATTTTTATGTGAACATTCATTGGCATAATGTCCATATTGCTTACAGTTGTGACACTGGATATGCGCCTTTCCTCGAGTAGATCTCCACTCCTGAGACTGACCTTGATTTTGTGCATAGCCTCGACCTCTTCCTCGGGCTCGTCCTCGGCTACGGTTGAATGGGCTCCCACGACGTGAGTTCCACTGCCCACGACCTTTATTTGGTTTGTCAATATTCAACTTTGACTCCAAAGCTTGCTCTAGCGTTGTGGGGCTTGCATTCTTCTGAATGCGTTGCTCGTGAACTAGGAGGGATCCTAGTAGCTCTTCTGCGCTCATCACCTCCAAATCCTTGGATTCCTCAATGGCAGTCACCACATGCTCAAACTTAGATGTGAGTGACCGGAGTATCTTCTCCACAACTCGTACTTCATCGAGTCTCTCGCCATTTCTCCTCATCTGATTTACTATCACAATGAGCCTTGAGTGATAGTCGGAGATGCTCTCCCCTTCATTCATATGAGCAGTTTCAAAATCTGCTCGAAGTGATTGTAACCTCACTTTCTTGACTCGATCTACTCCTTTGTAGATTGTACTGAGTGTATCCCATACTTGTTTGCTCGTTGTTGCTTCTGCAACCTTCTCGAACGTTGAATCTTCCAAACCCTGGTATAGAAGATACAACGCCTTTTGGTCCTTCTTTCGTAAGTCCTTGAGAGTGTTCCTTTGATCCGCAGTAGATACGGCTTCTTGCTCGGCAGTGGGTACAACATACCCACTACTGACAACTTCCCATAGCTCCTGTGATCCAAACAATGCTTTGAATTGGATGCACCATCTTTCATAATTTTCTTTCTTCAATGTGGGAACTTGGAGTTGCACTAAGTTGGACGCCATAACTGCTGCACCTGCCAGAATGGTATTCTGGCTCTGATACCAATTGTTGGTATTTGACAGTTTACTAACTCAATACCAAAATATGTGGGTGATAAGTTTACAAACTCTATCACACCTCTTTCACTTTGCACTCTCAAATAAAATTGGACAAAGAAATAGAGAAAGGAGGGAAGCAACAAGCTTTGATAAAACACTTGGACTTTGATATATGAAAAGAGAGTTTACAAACTCTATAGCTTACAAGCTTAAAATGAGAATGAGAAATGGGATTTTGATGGGATGATTTACAATGCTTGAGAACTTGGGTATTTATAGCAAACCAAATGATTAAACTAAGATTATTTATTACCACACAAAACACATTAATTGCACCTAATAATTTTTATTCAACCATACCTAACATTGCCTAACTTTCAATGCCTAACTTTGACATTGATTTTCAACAATAGCAACTTGTTTTGATTTGAATTTCCAACACATAAATCCAGCTATCAATTGAAATAATGCATTCCACACACCAGTTTATTGTAGAATTTTCAAGGCCGTGGGAGAACTATTTTCACATGTAGCTAGTGGAGAGGGTAACATTGTGATCCAAACACAGATAAGGGTAAGTCATCCTACTCATATAACACTCATATACACAACGCAAACAGTGAACACTCTTGGACAGAGACTAATGACCGTACATAGGAAAGAGTAAAGAAGCTTCCCACCAAGGGAACCAAACATTGTAGTCATTGTCACAGTTTCTTTCAAGTACGCCCATTTATTTTCTCTCTCTTTTGTTACTATTCTGATGAATGTCCTTCCCCAAACTTGCTTTAGTTTGCTTGTCCCAAGGCCAAACTGCTTCCTGCTTCTGCTTGAGACAGTTGAGTAGTTGAGTCATCCGCAGTCAAACCAGGAGATTACATGCATGACAATTTTAGAACTTCCAAGTTTAAGCAAAAAACTTTTTGTTTGGGGGGGGGGGGGGGGGAGGGGGCGGGGGGGGTGGGGATGCTTTTGCTGATGTGACCACTTACTGAGCTGATAAATAAAACACCAAAAGAAAAGAAGGGGGAAAAAAATTGAACTGTAACTGCTCTGCTTTTGCAGTTATGGCTTACCCCAAATTAGGAAAGCTGGCCATGCTTCCTGACTGCGTTTTTAACCATCTTCAGACCTTACCGATACTTACCGTGGCAAATTAATTATAACCGACACATGTAAAATATAAATTATAACTATAGAAATAGAGACCCTTAATCTTTATTTAAGCCCTGCAAAGTCAAGGGTTTACCCCAATTGGCCCAAAAACCCAATTCAATTAGGTACTTCGAAAGAATGAGCATTATTGGTCCAGAAAGATGTAGCATATGGGCTTGTTTGTTAGTGAATCTCATCCTATACCAGCATGTGGTATATTGTGCTGGAAATTATTTTCGCATTTTTGTTTTCTCCTTTTATACTATTCTTATTTTTAACGGGGCTTATTGGATTTAATAATTAGAAGAGAACCAAGGGACATATCAGAGAAAAAGTGTAGCAGGAGAAAACAGAAATGCGGAAATTATTTTCTTTCCTTTGATTCGTTCATTAATTTTTACTCTTTGGAAGAATCGGATGAGTCTCCAATGGAATTTTTTTTGGGGAGATTTATCGAATTTAGTCTTGAATTATGAGTCCTCTGACTTGTTCAGCTGTCTTCAAAGCTAAATGGTGGTTTATGCAGATTAGTCTTCTGTTTGGAGGTGAATACAAGGTAAACCCGAAGCTTACGACGATCCAAACCTCAACTCGAATTTCACTCCTCAATCCATCTAAAATTTGAAGAGCTCAATGTTCCAAAAACAAGGGAATTGAAATACAATTGCACTCCGGCTTGCACAACGTTTGGTACTTAGAACTGGATTGGATAAGTATACTAAACTTATAACCCGTGTTTAAAATATCAATATCGATGAAAATATCATGTAAATAAGAGGAAATAATGATGGATGATATATGGATATGTGAAAGGTTGACGGATGATATATGGATATGAGAAAAATTTGCTCAAAAACATAAAAATTCAAAATAAAACTGTAGGGAATGTCAAAAGCTTAAAATTTAAAAGACAAGACAACGAACACGCATATAACCATTCAAGAAATAAGGTAATTAAGAGCAGAATCAAATACACAAAAACTGGATTTGGGAAATTAGAATCCTTACCACCTTCAATTCAGGCAATAAAAAAGAACCTACACAGTTCTTTTGAACAAGAAAAAGAAACATTTTTCAAACTCAACATATGCCAATGGTCCTCAAGCCTTTTATTCTACCACCGTCCTAAAATCAGAGAGATCAAGAACAGAAATCCGAAAAAAAACCCTAACCCTATATGCCCGAGAATGACAAAAGCCATACACATACCGCAAGATAGTTTTCCAAAACCAAAACAAGAGAAGCAACTGTAAATTTCTTCAGTACTTGTAATCCTTCACATGGAGAGACTCTGCAGCACCCTCACCGAGCTTGGCGTCACCCTTGTAGGTTCCAAGAGTAGCCTCTGAGTTGGCCTTGGCCCTTGTGAGGAGAGCAGCCTGTGCCTTTGGGATGTTTTCCTGTTTCCCTGCCCATGCCTTCAGTGTGCTTTGCTGAAGAGCACGTCCGAAGGAGAAGGATAGAGACCATGGCTTCTTTCCCTTGAGTTGGTTCATGGCGTTAAGGTTGAGGGTAGCCTCCTCCTCACTCTGTCCACCGGACAAGAACACGACAGCAGGGACAGCTGCAGGGGTAGTGCGCAACAAGGCACGAACTGTATACTCGGCAATCACTTCTGGTGAAGCCTTCTTGGCATCGGATCCTGGAGTGACCATGTTGGGCTTCAACAGAGTTCCTTCGAGGAGGACATGGTGGTCGTTAAGAGCCTTGTAGCACGCAGCAAGAACACGCTCAGTCACATCAGCACACTTATCGATGGAATGGGGTCCATCAACCAGGATCTCTGGCTCAACGATGGGGACTAGACCATTCTCCTGGCAGATGATAGCATAACGAGCCAACCCATTAGCGTTCTCTTGAATGGACAGCTGAGATGGCTCATTGGGGCCAATCTTGAGCACAGCACGCCATTTTGCGAACCGTGCACCAGCTTCATAGTACTTCTGGCAGCGCTGGGCAAGGCCATCGAGACCCTGGGTTGTGGTCTCACCATTGGTTCCGGCAAGCTCTACGGTACCCTTGTCGACCTTAATACCGGGGAGAACACCACCTTCCTTCAAGACGTCAACGAATGGCTTGCCTGCACAATATAATACAACGAGTACCATCCCATGGAAAATTTGAGAATATTATTTGGGAAAACAACAATCCAAAGCGAGCACAAATAGGAAAAGGGTAACAATTCATGCAACCAGAGGATTGTCAAAACAGGATTACAAAAAGAACAAGTACTCTTTACAGCTTTACCTCTTGAAGAAACTAAAAACTTTACAAAAACATACAAATTCTACAGATTTATTGATCAAACAAAATAAACACTGCACCTAATATATTGATTCCAAATACAACAGAACTAATAATCGTGGAATGCCAAAGTATCAAAACCTAGAACCTTTAATAAAAATACCTGAAGCAGTCTTCTGGTAGAGGGTTTCCTCAAAGAGGATCACTCCACTAAGGTATTGGAGCACATCAGGGGCAGTGAAGAGGAGCTCACGAAGAGCACGCCTGTTTGATTCAACATTCTCAACATTGATGCTGGCAAAACGTTTGCCGATTGTGCCAGTTGACTCATCAGCAGCAAGAATACCCTTTCCAGGGGTGCCAATGTAGGCAGCATTGGCGATAAGCTCATCTGCAAGGCATACAAAATTCAGCCAACATAGACCAGAAATCACAAAATATAAATACCCACATCAAAACATCCACTTTAAATAACCAAAAATGAGAAAAATCTACTTTAAATAACCAAAATCGAGAAAATACAGAACAATAAAGTTAGGACAAGTCCAAACTCCCCTCATAGTTAAGAGGGTAATGCAACCGAAAACAAAATCAAAAAACCAATTACTATATGTTAATTGCTTCCAAAACTATTAGAACTTCAGATCAAAACAACAAATAAACAAATAGGAGGAGGAACTCACAAGGGTTAAGTAGATCATCACAAACATAAAAATATAGGGTTTCAATTTAGATCAAAAGATCTTGATTTGGTACCAAACAACTTTGTCATTGTCAATCGAATCCCATACCAATAGTTGACTGAAAAAATCATAAACCCAATAAACACACTTGAAAATTTGAGGACTCTAAATCCATAAAATTGAGTTTAACCTTGAAGTAAAATCCAAGTCAACAGTTATTCCACCTTCACAAAGTAAAACCCAGAAGGCATATTAACTATGTATGTCAGATTAGATCTAAATTTCAGTAATCAAAATACTAAAAAATAGTTTCAGGAGCAAAAACGATTGATTTTCTGAGAACCGAAAACCAGAATACTGCAAGAAATCTATACAGTATCGAAGAAACCCAAATCTGGTCGTCGGATCTCGACCACAGAAGTAAGATTCAATCACTCAACAACCACAACACACTTAAAAAAAACATGGGTTCACGCATCAAATCTTGAAAACGCACAAGAACAATCAGATCTAAGAAATTAATCAAAACAAATATATAGATAGACAAAAACAGATCGATATGAACAGGTAACAGAGTGAAGTGGATGAGTAAATTACCAGCGTATTTGCCTCTGTAAGCAGACATGTTTGATTGATGCTGAAGATTTGAGAGGAAGAAGAAGACGAGTTGGTTGCTTTCCGAGAGATAAAGAGAAAGATGGAAGAAAGTGAAGGGTGGGTGAGGCTTTTTATGTGAGTCCGGCTCGAAAGTTGCTCTACTTGCTTGGCTTCTTTCCCACGTAAATAAATTATTATTAATTTTCTCTTTTTATGTTTACCATTTTGCCCTCCAGACATTAATTGGACCTAGATTTATTTCCTATTTTGTATAAATATATACGAATTCATTATGGTGGATTCTCTAGCAATTCAAAAGGAAATAATTATTTTTCCAAAAAGTTTAAAGGAAAATAAATAAAGTTTTCTCCATTAATTTAGTATCTCCAATGAAATTTAGAAATAGTTAGGATTTAACTACCCACGATCTTTCCATGTGTGTTAGATTTGGTTTTGATTGACATATCTTAATTTAAATGATTAAGAACATAAATTATCACGTAGATTCTGCAATTGCTTATAAGACTCGTTATGGAAAGATTCGGTTTTGATTGACATATCTTAATTTAAATGATTAAGAACATAAATTATCACGTAGATTTTGCAATTGCTTATAAGACTCGTTGTTATTGCTAGACCTAATTTTACTGCAACACAATTTTGCGATAGCGTTACTCTTTAGAGTCTTCATATATCAATTTTTTTTCCGTTATTAATAATTTGGGTACATTGCATTAGATTTACAATACTAAGGTAGAACTCTTTATTTTTCTCAAAACAAATAATAAACAATAATTTTCATTAATTAGTCTGATTAGGAGAAAATTCATGTGGGACAATTGAAATATGCGCATGCCTTTCAAGGGCCCTAACTGCACACAATTTTTACTTTCTACACACACATTTATATTTCCTTTAAGTTAGAGCCTAAATTAATTACCAAAAAAATAAAAATTAGAGCCTAAATTAATTGGAGGGTGAAAAAGTAATTATGTATGGTGGTAGGTTTTCACAAAACCAGCTGCCGTCCCGTGATTAGGTTAAGTAGGTTGGAAGGTGGTCAAAAGGTCAGAACCAGCCAACCAAATCCTGTGGGGTTTGAAGGCGACTCTGGTTTTGGTTTGGTTTTGTGAACTTGTGATACCCAAAACCAGCACCGGCAATCTAGGTTCCGGCCTTTTAAGACAATGTTTGTCTTTTTATTCAGCCTATATTAATATCTGGCGAAAAATCTACAGCGTAAAATAAATGGATGAGATTTAATGAAACATATGGTATATTTTTATTGAGTTCATCTTCTTCATTTTTATTTCGATGTATTTAAAGTTACAGGATATTATAGTCACATTATTTTTTTTTTTAACAAACGATATTATCTACACTAAGAGAGTGAGAGTGGGTTAGGCCTCACAATGAGCAAGCAATAATGCGGTTTAAATTCATCTTTAATGAGAACCGAACCTAAGACTTCTCATTTACAAGTAAAGAGGAATACCACGAGACCGTAGTATTAAGTGACTCCACATCTCCTATCTTAAGAGCCTATATTTCAAGAAAAATTGTATTTATCCCTCCTATATTTGATATCCATGTCTTCTTTTTTTATTACGCCAAATCAAATTTAATTTGTTTTTGCATAAATTGATTGAAGTATACAAAGAAGAAGCGGTCAAAACTATCCCTTGAATGAATGGCATTGTGCGTAGCTAGCTTCTCGAATGTTGGCAGTTTTGACTTTTAGGATACATAAACTTACAACGTGAATGTTATTTCCAATGAATTTTCTTTGTTTTTGTAACTATAAACAACCATCAAACGTTTTGGAATACCCCTTCAATGTCTCTCCTTTATATGATCGATTGTACCTACACTACACAAAGAGAATTTAGGGGTTCCAACTTAAGAAGAGAAACACACGTTACATTGATTTTAGAATGCCGTAATGTCGCTAACTATATACTATAGTCAAATTTTAACATGTGTTAAGTGTCATTGAATTTGGTTTTTTTAGTCTAAACCTTATTCTAATGCAGCACCTGCATTATTATGTGAAGTAGCGGAGTCACTTTGGGATCAATGGCTACTCATTACCCCAACAGCTTCCTAACCCTATATATATACTTACTAGTAGATTTATCTTTTGACCCTACTTAAGAAGAGACTGGACAACGTTAAATTATAACTTATTGTGCTTCTTCTTTCTCCAATTTTCTTTCCTCGTTTCTTCCTTCTCTTTTTTCTCATGTGCAACCCAATGGTGCGCACCACATGCTTGACCTAATGCTTCACTCAAAAAGTCTTGGCAGGTAAGTCTTGACAATCTGCTAGCTTAGGCACACGCCGCACACCTTGATAGTTGCAAATGCTAGAAGAACACAGCAACTACCGTTAGATGTCATCACAAGCTTTCAATGAATGTTGGTAGATTTTGATAGGTGCCCAATTGATGCTCGACAGAATGGCGCCATGAATTATTTCTTTGGTCGAAATCATGACCCCATTGTTGTAAAATTCTGACTCCGTCACTAATTGTGTGCGTCTATATATGTGTGTGTGTGTATATATGTATGTATGTATGGATGTATGTATTTGTGATTTGCACAGTCAAATCGTCTCTGCTTCGTGTTGGTTCTTTGTCACCTCACCCACCGCATTTCTCGTTGCTGCTTATAAGTCAAAACGAGAGTTGTTATATATGCCTCATCGAACAAACTTTCAACGCATTCATATATTAACCAAATTCAATTGCATCATTTGGATCATGCGCCACAATTTTTTTATTTTTATGTCACGCCCATCTTCTCTTTTGTATTTAAAGGTGCCAAATTATTTAAAAATAAAAGCATGCAAAAGAATATGGTATGACGACATGTCTCATTAGGCTGGATTAGGATCTTCTCCCGGCTTTAAAAAACTAAGCCTGCTGAGCAGGCAATCGTGGCCGTTGAAATTTGATCAAACGGCTACAAACAGGAGGGCCCTCTAAAAGTTATAATAATTGTAGCCGTTGGATCAAATTTCAACGGTCACGATTGTCTGCTCAACATGCTTAATTTTTAAGGGTCAGGAGAGGATCTTTCGCCTCCTTATGAGACCTATGAACAAAATTTAGTTGACTCTTCTTCCAGTTATTTTGACATAAGCACAGTCATTCTTGGTTACTTCAAGCGTTCAACATGCTTTTGGAGTTGTACAACATGGTATCAAACATTTTACACAAATAAAAAATTTAAGTTATGATTCCCTCTTTCCGCTTCTACGTACTTATTAGTCGATTTACTAAGTGCAAGGTGAGACTCTATCATGATTCACAGTAGTGTTATGTTTGCAATTTGATGTCGATAGCCATTACTCTTTTGTACATATTCTAATACGACTGGTATTTATTTAAAATGATCTAAATTGTAGAGAGAGAATTCCAACTTAGTACATTGAGGAGAGTACATAAGCTCTAATTAGCCAATGTAACTACGTCAACGTCTACTTCTTTTTTTCAAAAGTTAATATTCAAATTATAATTTATGTCGAGGTTGGAAGTAGAGAGAGAATTCCAACTAAGTACATTGAAGAGAATGCATAAGCTCTAATTAGCCAATGTAACTACGTCAATATCTACTTTTTTTTCAAAAGTTAATATTCAAATTATAATTCACTTCGAGGTTGGAAACTTTTGTGAAAGAAGAAGAAAAAGAAGTGGTAATTAGGATGTTGAACGCTAAGTTGTGAAGGCTTCACCTACCTCTCTTTTCATCTCTCGTTCTCTTGTTTTCTGAAACCAATTAGCCAACTGGCCATGGCCAAGTAGGTCTTTGAATAGCTTCCTGCAATGTCGGGTAATTTTATTTTGTTGAATAATATTTAATTATTATTCACACACCTATTTTAATTTTCGGCTATAAAATTCAATAATCTAAAAATATCAATGAACAAAATTTAACAAAAATACGTAAAAAAAAAAAAAAAAAAAACGTGTGAATAGACCTATCTTAGTATTTAAACTTAAAAAATAAAGTTGTTGAAATATTTTAACCAGGAACATGGAATGCGTGGATCCTACGCAGATATTGGAGAACAAAATGAACGAGTGCTGCTGTTAGGCATTGGAATATTCTACACCTCGATCCTTCTTTATATACACACATATATATTGTATATATAACACGTGTGTGTGTGTGTGTGTGTGTGTGTGTGTGTGTGTGTGTATTATATTTTTCCATTAATTAATTCCCGATCTTTGATCCCATATGGCCGCTCTGCTGATAAGTGATACGTGGTTTTTAATCTAAATTGACATGTGGGCATGTCAATAAATGTAAGCTTAGATGCAGACATGATTCCTAATACATTATTTATTTTCTGTTCTGCCTCCAAATATTACATTTGATGTAAAGAAAGAAAGAAAAAGAGAGAAAAAGAGCATATTTTAAAACTTTTTTCTCAATGAAAATAATATACTTTTTGTATCGTACTAATTTTGTCAGATGTCTCGGAGGGGACTAAAATAAGATGCAAAAAGAGCACAAGAGGAAAACAGAGGCCTACAAAAAGGATACCAGTCACTGCAGCCTGTGACGACCGGCCTCCCAAATCGCCAAAATAGCACCAGAAAATAGCGATTGCTCACCTCTAAACCCTACACATACAACATCGTAGTAGCAATTACAAGATTCAAACTTGGATAATTAATTAGAAGGCTAAATTTGTCCTTGAAGGGGTTTTATGTAAGTGAACTAAAACCTCAGAGAGTGATAGCGTAACGTTTTAAACCTGATGGGTTTTTAAGAAAACACAAAAACCCCTAGGAGGTATATGTGTATTCAACCCCAAAACTTACGATTGTATTGTGCCTAAAACAATATACATGTTAAGATTGTGAAAGCCCAATACAGTATTGGGCCTAAAACAATACTAACCCAATCGAAGGTTTTGCTTATGCAACTAAAACAAGAACTAAAGTTCAAATAAATATGTTCTCGATCAACCAAAATATAAACAAAAGAGGTTTAAATTTTTCCAAACCAAAACCAAGTTGATGAAACAAACAAAAACTCTTCATGCTTGTAGTAGTTCCTCAAGCTTTTATCAAAACCTACTAGTATCCGGTACTAATCTCATCATGACCGAGATTATACGAATAAAGTTTGAACAAAAAAAAGACC